ATATGCATTCCCTGTTCCCTGACAACTAAATATCACCTACATTATGCCATCAAACTATTGCACACCAACAAAAGAAACCAGACAACTTATGTTTTATTTCCACCATGTCTTTTCCTCTCCTTGAAAAGTGAAGCAAGGGAATGAGGAGCAGCAGCCTTTGTGCACATGAGCCTTCAGTTTTAGCCCAGAAAAGAAGAAGTTACTTAATGTATTCATGTTTATGTGCTGTCCAGAAAAAGCACTTAAATAGTACTGCTAAAATAATATTAGCATTTACTTTTTTTGTACAGTAATATTGATACATAATATAATGCATATTTTTTATTTAGTAAATTCTAGTAGTTTAGAGATTTTGATATTTTTTTGTAAAATTTAAAAGAATAATTAAATAAATGTTACTACACCCAAAAGTTTGTTTTTTCAGTGTACACATGACAAAACTGGTTTTATGATAGAAATAAGCGCCAAAGTGTAGCATGATATAATCCTCTGACCCGGGACTACATGTGTCTCTGCTCCGCTGTGCTGCGCTGCGCAGTTCGCAGCTGTTCGTCAGGCAGCAGTGACAGGAGGGGTGAATAAGAGGGGAACACCTGTAATCTATGAATGAATGAACATCCAATCATTTAATAACAAACAAGTGAAAACATCTCAAATGAATGAATGATCATCAGTTTTGATGGGTCAGATTTAACTCAGGTTCATTTTAACCAAAATATAAAGTTTTGTCAATTTCTACTCCAATCTTGCAGGTACAAAAAGAAGTAGTCTGTCACTACGTACCCACAGCAGCACAGTGGATCAGTGGGTAGCTCTGTTGCTTTGCGGTCTCAATTCCCAGTTTGGACCTGAGTTCTGTGTGGAGTTTACATGTTCTCCTCGTGTTTGTGTGGGTTTTCTTCCAGTTTCCTCCCACAGTCTGAAAACATGATGTCAGGCTCAGGAGGACCTTGAAAAGGACCTCCATGATCTTGTGGGATTAGCTCAAGTAAAGGTTAATGATAAAATACTCTCTACCACATTGGTACCCACCTCAGTTAACAGTTTAATTATCAATACAACCATGTATGATGTGAAAACAGTTACAACAGTTGCACTTTTAGTAATTTAGCAAAATTGCATGTGGTTGTTTTTGCTCCATGTTGTTAGTTTTATTAAACAATATGTGGTCAAATCCCCACATTTATGAGTGACAGCTTTTCCAAGTTGGTTTTTTTCAAGGAGGGTGACTTTGATCAAAACCATCATTTGAAAATGCATTTATGGAGCTAAAATGTTTAGACAAAGTTAATTATTTAACTCAATTATTATTATTTTAAACCTTCTAATATGGAAATTTTTCCAGGTATTTAAGATTCAGATTTACTGTGAAATCTGGTTCACAAATCAAGTTTATATAATAAATTCGTTATTAATGTTCTGATTCCATCATGCTGTGGTTGTGTGAATATTCAGATAGCCACAAAAAAATCTACTTTTTGACAATAAAATGTTTGCATGACTCACAGTTTGTGAATAAAAAGACGAGTTTTAATTTTACTCACAAGTCTGTTGGAAGTAATATTTGTTTGAGAACCAGGGGTACGTCCTCGTACCCAAAAGGGTACCAAATGACGGGGGTAAGTTTTGGCAGAAGGCCAAGTTGACCGCCACACATCTGTGTTTTTGGGAATGAGTTTTTAACACTTATTATTCTGGCAAAAACTCATTTCATAAAACAGAAAACGGAACTAAAACTGACAAAACGATTCAGCTGCCGGCAGGGATTTTGTCTGTTTTTAACTAATGTGTGTGTGTGTGTGTGTGTGTGTGTGTGTGTGTGTGTGTGTGTG